TTTTTTTTTTTTTTTTTTTTTTTTTTTTTTTGAGACAGAGTCTTGCTCTGTCGCCCAGGCTGGAGTGCAGTGGTGCAATCTCACTGCAAGCTCCACCTCCTGGGTTCACGCCATTCTCCTGCCTTAGCCTCCTGAGTAGCTGGGACTATAGGCGCCCGCCACCACACCCAGCTAATTTTTTTGTATTTTCAGTAGAGACGGGTTTCACCATGTTAGCCAGGATGGTTTCGATCTCCTGACCTCGTGATCCACCCGCCTCAGCCTCCCAAAGTGCTGGGATTACAGGCATGAGCCACCGCGCCCGGTGTTTGTTTGTTTTTTTTTTTTTGAGATGGGTCTCACTTTGTCACCCAGGTTGGAGTGCAGTGGCGGGATCTCAGCTCACTGAACCTCAGCCTCCCAGGCCAAGCAATCCTTCCACCTCAGCTTCCCTGGTAGCCAGGATCACAGGCACATGCCACCACAACTGGCTAATTTTTGTGTTTTTGGTAGAGACAAGGGTTTCACCATGTTGCGCAGGTTTGTCTTGAACTCTTGAGCTCAGGCAATCCACCCGCCTTGGCCTCCCAAAGTGCTGGGATTATAAGTGTGAGCCACCGTGCCTGGCCTTCCAAGTAAGGTTTTATTGTCTCTATACCTGGAACCTTCACCCCAAAGCTGGAAGTGTACTTTGTTTCTTCTCTCTTTGTAGAATTGAAGTCCTAAGGACCCCATTAGGCCCACAGTGGTAGAAAAGGGGCAGATTTTTCACCAAAATGGTGCCATGTGGGAGTTGCTTGATAAATCACTGGTAAGGCTGTTTGATAGGGTATTAGGCCCAGGATTTGAAGTCTGATGGCCTGGCTTAAGTATAGCTGTGTGGCTTTGGGCCAGTCACTTACTTGATTTCTCTGATTTTGTCTCTTTGTAAAATGAAGATGCTAAGGATACTATTCTCCCTCCCTCTTAGGTAGATTAGGAAAGTCATGTGAGAACGCCCTGTTTTGTTCGTTGTTATTGAATGCTAGCTCTTATTGCTATTATTATTGTTGTTATAGTTATTATAGCTATTTTTAATAATTTCTGTGACTAGAGAAGCTTTGCATTGCCTTTATCCTCAACTTGTTCTTTGCTTTTTCTCCTCTTTCCTCTTTTTTTAAACTCTGGGGAATATGATAGGT